TTTGCTGACGCGACGCTCCCCTCGGAGCTGCTTTGTCACCCGTCAGCCAGTGTGGCTGCCCTCGGCTCGGCTTCCGAGGTGTGACATCCACACCTGCTGACTCTCGCTCATCCTAAAATGCACGCCATAACTGATGCCGCTGCAAGAGAGGGAAAGAGAGAAAGCACACGGGGTCGCGGAGACCTCGAAGCAGAGAGAGCAGACAGCACAGCCCCGCGCACCCCGGGAGGCGCGCCGTGTGCTTTCCGCTACAATTCTGTATATGTTCCCGTCACAGCGTTGGTGCCAGGGACTTCCTGCCCTGGCTTTCCTCTCTGTGCCTACCCAGGATCCCTCAAGCCTGCCAGTTACCAGAGCATCTAGGGGACGTTGGGGCACAGTGATGCTTGCTGGGTAGGAAATAGAGGCAGCCTGTGTTTCGTTTTTCTTCAAAATGTCCACTGTAATGGGGGCCGGCTGGTGGACATACTTGGTAGGCAGGGAGGGTCAAGAAGGGAATGACATATTTGGGTCTGACAGCCCAGGAGGCAGAGAAGAGAGAGAGCGTAACTCAGCTAAGAGAACGGGGCTGGGGGGCCGTATTTTCTTGTGGGGCAGCTCCGTGTCAAATTCCATGTCACCAGGCCCAAGCGTATTGTTTTGTCACGTATCCCCGCCCCCCCCAGCACCTTCTGGGGTACAGGGTCAGCGATAAGGCAGTGGGGCACGGAGAGAAGAAGGATTAGGGAAAACGGGAAGATGCTGACCCCCAAGCCTTGAGGGGTGTTCAGAAGTTTGTAATATCCCAGCAACATACTTTCACAGGAGAAATTAAAAAAAAAAAGTTAGCCAGCATTTTATTGAGGCGACCTGCATTAAAACAAGTATACATACCCCAAACCGAGCATCTGCGCACAGCCCCGACCTGGATGCGGCGAGTGTCCCCAGCATTTCAGGAGCCCCCTCCGGACCCCTTTCAGCCATTAAGTGTCCCTTACCCAGCTCACTCACTCAAGAAAACCGTGTCCTGATGTCTAGCCGCGTAGATTACTTTTATCTGTTTATGTATTTAATGCCAATCACATTGGGATGCCCTCCCTCGTGTCTGGCTTCTCTCACTCACAGTTATGTTTGTGACATGTATGCATATGTTGTGTACAGTTGTAGGTCTCTCTCATTGCTCGATAGTACTCCACGGTGTGCGTGTTTTTAAAATGCACTGTACTGCTTGATGGGCGTTTGAGTAGTTTCCAGTGCGTGGCTGTCCTGAATTAGAGCTGCCGCGAACATCCCAAGACGCATCTTTCGGCGAACATGCGTACGCGTTTCCGTGCGTTTCTGCCTGGCAGTGACCTGCTTCGTCATAGGGTGCACGTATATTCAGCTTCAGTGGACAGTGCAGAATGGCGTCCCAGAGTGGCGGTTTGTCTTTCTTCAAAATGTCTGTTTACCAGCTTGTATGACAATTCCAGTTCTACACCAAGGCCAATCGTTGGTATTGCCTGTCTCTTCTCTCTTGGCCAACCTGTTACACAAAGAGCAGACGACCTGGAAGGAGTCACATAGCAGAGAAAAGGAAAACGCTCCCTGAGGGCAATGTGTTCCTGTTTGGTGACACTGCACGACTAGACATCCTGGAGTGGAGCGCCTGGCATGGTGCATTCTTGTAGGGGGAGCCCATGGCGGGCAGCCCTCTTATCTGAGCCTCGGCACTGCCCCTCCCTTGGTCAGGGACCACGGCTTGGCTGCAGTAATTCCCAACCGAGCGTGTAATAATTCTTCCCCAGGTGACAGAGCTTTAATGGACCCAACCCCAACAAAACAAACTTGGCTTCAGACTTGCCCCAGGGGCCTCCATAAATATTTAACTGGCTGTCCCCCATTTTCTCCACGGCCGTTGACTGGGGCTGGTACCATAAGCCGCGGCCCCCTTTCCTGACACTCTGCTGCGGGGCTGCCCCTGGGCTGGCAGCTCTTGGTGTTTGCTGCAGAAGCTGAGGGCGGAAGAGGGCGTGTGTGAACGTCCTGGACAGACTGCCCTTGGCGTGCGGGAGCCCTCTTCCATCTGACACAGGAAAAGATGGCTACTCAAGCTCTTGACATGCGCTGGGCAACCTGCTCAGTGCTCTGTGTGCATTATTTCATGTACCCTCATGCAAGCAGTTGCATGAGGTTAAGTAGATGTGAGTTGCCCCCGTTTTGTAGACGAGGAAGCTAAGGGTTAACAGTTGTTCTCCAGAGGAACATAGCTCAGTCAATTTGGTAGTTTGACTTCAAACTGTCTTGTTTTAACCACTAGGCTGTACTTCTCTCTTAGGGGCTGATATTTAGACACGTGAGCTTCCCTTCGAACCCATTTTCCTCTTGGGCTGAAAAGCTATGTCAGGTGGGTTTACATGGGACAAGGGGAGCACACTCTGTGACCCCTGGTCACTGTAGAATGTTTAAATTGGAGGATGGATGCCCTTTGGCATGGTTGCTACGAGCAACAGGCCCCCAAAGATGCCCAGGCCCCAGTCCTCAGGACCTGTGAATACATATATTATCTTACGTGTCAAAACAGACTTTGTGGATATGATTCATGACCTTGAAATGAATTATCTTGGGTCATCGGGGTGTTCCCAAGGTATTCGTTTACATGGACCCTTAAAAGCAGAAGAGTCAGTTGGAGGAGATGTGATGAGGGGCCGGGTCAGAGAGAGGCTATGTTGCTGTATTTGAAGGTGGAGTAAGGGAGCCGTTGGCCGAGGCATCCGAGAGCAGCCTCTATGACAGCGGTTCTCAACCTTCCTAATGCCGCGACCCCTTAATACAGTTTCTCATGCTGTGGTGACCCCCAACCATAAAATCATTTTCGTTGCTACTCTATAACTGTAATTTTGCTACTGTTATGAATCGTCATGTAAATATCTTTTTGTTTTCCGATGGTCTTAGGCGACCTCTGTGAAAGGGTCATTCGACCCCCAAAGGGGTCGCGACCCACAGGTTGAGATCTGCTGCCCTAGAAGCTGGAAAAGGCCAAAGAGATTTTTCTTAGAGTCTCCAGAAGGAACAGCTTAGCCGACACCTTGGTTTTAGCTTAATAAGACTCGTTCGGCTTTCTGACCTCCAAGACTGTAAGATAATAAATGTGTGTTGTCTCCTACCCCTGAGTATTTGAAAATTTGTTATTGCCGCAAGTTGCTCTTGATGGCAGTGGGTACAACGACCAAGCTCATGGGCTTTGGAGTCTGACTGCACAATTCCTGTTCTGTGATTTCTCTAGCTGTGTGATCTTGGGCAAGTGGCTTACCTTGTCTGGGCCTCAGGTTTCTCATCTCTGAAATTGGGATCGGAATCATCTATACCACATAGGGTTGTTGTGAGGGTTAAATGAGGACTCTAGTCACAGGAAATGCCCGATCGCATAAGTTACAAAAATGACAGTTCCGGACAGGCGTCCCTCAGTAGTCACCGCGGGGTGGTTGATGGTCAGGGTGCAGACTCGGGAGACAGACTGGCCTCATATTTGGGCTCTACTCTCTTACTGTATTGGAGTAAGAGAGTTGTCTGCGCCCCCGTTTTCTCATCTGGGAAGTGGAGGCGGGAGTCCCAGTGTGGTTAGGGGTTTGTATCAGATGGTGGCCAGAGCTTTTAGCAGGGAGAGCTGTAGGCTCTCCGTAAAGGGCAGTTGTTATCTGTGGGTGGCTGGTGACTGTTGGGCTTAGGGCCCTATGCACTGGGGATCCGTTTGTGCTTCCGTTTATCTCGGGAATAACTTAAGCGCACTGGGTTGGAGAGACAAAGGGATTCCTGTAGAACTAGAACAGTACCGGGTACCTCGCAGGTGCTCAGTCATTGCTGAATGAATCAAGAAAACAGGGCACAGGCCCAGGCCTTCCCTGAAGCACCGCTCACTTCAGGACAAGGCCTGGAGTCCTGCCAGGGCTTTGTGGCTGTCTTTAAAAAGAAACAAAACAGAGAACCACTTCCTCCCAGCTGACCCAAAACCCCTTCAGCTCACTGCCCGGACCACTGAGCCATGTGGAGAAGTCGAGGGCTGCGTGCCAGGCCTGCCTGTGCTGTTAACCCCCTAAGCCAGCCACCTGACCTTTCTGGAACCTTCTGGTCCTCATCTTCATAGTGGATGTACCTCAGCCCCCTCTGCCCTCCCATGGTAGTTCTGAGCAGCCCTACACAGAAAGGTCCCATCTGTGAGGTCTTTGGTGTCTATGGGTGGCTGCCCCGAAGGTCCCCTGGTTTCCTGACTCACCTCTCTTTGGGTATCAGAGCTACAGGGCATTAGTTTTAGAGTCCCCTCTAAGTATTGGGTTGTCAGAAAAGTTGTGACGTATTTTTTTCTATGTTTTTCATTGGAAAAATGCTTCATGACTTTTCCAACAACCCAATTATGAGGTCGGACAGTTACGTTTGCGAACTCATCCTAGAAAAAATGCTACATATCTCATTGCTGAATATCACTATGGTCACCTTGGAAATATTCCCCCTGGGAAGCTATGCACCGACACCAGTCCCTAGTCCACCCTGCAAAGCAATTTTGGAACTCTTTTTCTGGAACGGCCATCAGAGCTGTCGTCGTATTACCCTTGATGCCCTGAATGTCATCAAAATGTCTTCCCTTCAGTAAAAGGGAAAAAAGAAGTCATTGGGGACCAGATCAGGTGAATAGGGAGGGTGTTCCAATACAGTTATTTGTTTCCTGGCTAAAAACTCTCTCACAGACAGTGCCGTGAGAGCTGGTGCATTGTGATGATGCAAGAGCCATGAATTGGCGAAAAGTTCAGGTCGCTTAACTTTTTCACGTGGCCTTTTCAGCTCTTCCAAATAGTAAACCTGGTTCACTGTTTGTCCAGTTGGTGCAAGTTCATAATAATCCCTCTGATATCAAAACAGGTGAGCAACATCATTGCAACAAGTTCACGAACTTAATTGTCAGACCTCGTATTAGGGACAAATATAAAGAAAGAACAAATGACTACCGTGACTGTAACAAGGCTGCATTTTCTTCTTTGCATCCCCAGGTCTGATCATTTTTGACTAGAAAGGAATCAGCAAGATGCCCCTCGTGATGGCCGCACCTGTCAGCTTCATGCAAGGATTTTCCGAGCCGTGTGGATTTACAGTGATCTTCAGCCGCCTGGGGAATGATGCTGGTGGAAGCATTATTCTGGAATTGCACATACCCGGCACATTTCTGGATGCTAAAGGTGATTTTAAGGAAGGCCCTGGCCCAGTGCCTCATGGATTCCTGCAGCCTGGATGCCCTCTGGGGACGGAGGACCACCGATTCCTGTGAATGCTGAGCTCTCTGTCCTCCGCTTGGACAGGAATGTTTGGTTGGGTCTCTCCAGCTCGCTCTCCGGCTCCCTGTCAAACGTAAGTCCTGTGTCACATCTCATGTGCACACAGCTTATGTATGTTCTGTCAGGCTTTAGGTGACTCTGGCTTGGCTGGTGGCAGCGAGGTCATTTGATGTGGCAGGCTCTGAAAAGGAGCTGGCCTTTAATGAGCTTGTTCTTTGTGTCCGGCTTGGGGGAGATGGGTGGGGGGGGATGTAAAGTTGCTTCCTGGGAGGCACCACTGTCTCCTTCTCTGACACGTGTCATCATACCTGTCACCTTCTTCTGATTTCCCTGGTTCTCGTGTCTGTCTCTTATCTAGGACACTGTAAAAGCCCTGAAGGCTAGGGCCTCTTCTGCATGGCTCGGTGTCTTAGAGACATAACATAGTGCCTGGTCGATAGTGGCTCCTGCTCCAGAGAGGGTGAATGAAGACATGGTCCTTAATGAATTAAGACATTGGAGAGTAAATGGAGCATGAGGCAGTCATGGGGCAGGGCGTTTTCTTGGCCCTGTGCTTGGAGCTGGAATCGGAGAGTTGGATGTCAGCAGGGTGCCTGGGGCGCTGAAGGACCTCGGGCTTGAATCTCTAACCTGTACCCACTGTGTGACTCTGGGCAAGTGACTGCTGGTACCTTGCCTGTCTATTCCATTAGGGTGAAGTAATGTCATACTTCACAAGATTGGTGTCAAGGGTCACAGCATAGGGACTGATGTGCTGACAGCCAGCATCGTACCTGGCACACAGCAGACACTTAGCGCATGGGAGGGGTCACTGCTGGTTGTGGGGAGATCTTTTGGGGAGCGTGGGAGCCGCTTGGGCTTTTAAAGGCTTTCTGAGCAGAGCCAGGTGGGCTGTGCTGGACTTTGAACTGGGCACTGCTGGTTGGCATGGACAGTCGGTCAGAGGTCACAGTCCCTGGAGCCCATGGGAAGGCTGAGTGGCAGGTGACCAGCAGATGAGGGAAAGGAGCTTGTGTCAGCGTGAGGGTGGACTTGGCAACAAAGGCCTGTGGCGCTTCTTCAGTTGACAAGCAGGAGGACTGCCCCCCTCCACCCGGGGACTTGGCAGCTGTGAGGTTGGTGGCTCCGTGTGATGTTGCCTTAGCGCTGGGCTGCCCACTGGAGAAGGGCAGCTCAAACTGCCAGTGCCTGAGGGCTCAGGTCACCTGGGGCCACTTGGCACTTGGCTGCCCAAGACTGCACTTGGGGCGGGCTCTGGGGCTCAATTTTGATTGGATTCCTAGCTCCGCTGATGTTTGGTGGCACCTGTCTGAGAGCCTTCCCCTGTGACTTCCTAATGGAAACAATGGCCCTGTGGTTATTCCATACTGTTCTATTGTAGTTCACAGCACCTAGGTGCTTTGGAATCTTCTCTTCATTTATGCAAGGTACTTGACTTCTTGTCTTCATCTTACACTAGCAAGTAACTCTGAGCTCAGGAACCACATTTATCTTGCTCACAGGCTGAACACACAGGAGGCATCTTATTCATTGCATCATAGTTGATCAGATAGTGGGGTCTTAGTGGCTTCCTTCCGGCTTTCCTGAAAAGGACCAACAAAAGGGCAACGCTCTCATTTCGAGCATCTGTGTAACTTCATCAGCTCAACAGCCCCCCCGAGGTGGGCTGCGGCATTGCCCATTTCACAGTTGAAAAGCTTGAGGCTTTGAGCGGCCACATCACTTTCCCGAGGTTATTCATCTAAAGACGGCCGGGCAGGAACCCGAGTCGGGTGTGTGTGTGTGTTGAGTACTGCCTGCTGTTGAGCACTGCTCTTGGGGTCCTTAGTACAGATTGCCCTGTCTGTCCTCTGGGAGAGACAGACTTTCCATAAGAACTCAGACCCCCACTGTGTCTGGGAGGAAACGGGGCCCGTGCTGGGCCCTGGGATACAGTAGGTGTCCCAGTCCAGTCCCTGAGGCTCAGGGTCTTCAGGGAGCCTGTGCCCTTGGGCAAGTGTGGGTTTGCAGCCCCTCATCATGGGCTGTGCTCGCCGGACCATGGCCAAACAGGGCAGGGAGCCCCCTCATCCAGGGAGAGGCTGTGGAGGGTCTGGGAGACTTTGGAGGGCTGGAAGGGTGGGCTGGGCTTGCCCTGGTGGGCAGAGCTGTCCTGGAGCCCCGTGGGCTTCCGCTAATGAAGTGAGTGGGGGAGACCGAGGCGCAGCACTGCCGCTTCTGCTTCCGCTTGCACAGGCCTCTGGCACCTGTTCGTGCCATGTCCCCCTGTCACCCCACTGGGGCAGCTGCCCGCTCACTTATCACAGGGCCCACAGCCCGGCCTTTTCTCCTTTTATCGGTTACTCCCTAGAACAAGCCCATTGTGGTGGTCCTGGTTATCTGCTGCCCCTCCCAGGAAGGTGAGGATGGACTTGGGCACCAGCAGACACAGAACGGCCACGGCGAGAAGTGGGACTCCCCACTGCCCCTCCTTCCCGGCTGCTCTGAGCACCTGCCCCGAGTCTTGGAGGGTGCTCCCCTGATGGACAGTCACCACCGTTTGTTAAGTCAGTCTCCGTGTAGGGCACACGGCGGACATTCGTCCGTCCCAAGCCCAGAGCAGACCTATGGGGTAGGCAGTATTCTTATGGTCTTTCTTAGTGCCGATGTAACTGAAGCACAGAGAGGCAAAGCTGGTCTCCTCAGGGCACATAGGCAGGATTTGAACACAGTTCGCTCTGATTCCAAAGCCACTGGGCCACGCTACCTGGAGCTGAGAGATGCGACTTCTGCTCCCTTCTCAGACCCCCGGGGCTGTGTGACCTTGGGAAGGTCACCTTTCTTCTCTGCATCTTTGAACGCTCATTGGTAGGGAAACCGTCTCATTTCTCTTCTGAGCTGGGACGCTTGAGACACTTCTTCCAGGCACAATGTCACGCTCTCGGACGCCATTGTTGGAGGAGAGCCTTATCGCCCTCCGAGGACCGCCGCGGAGCAGGAGTAGGGAGGGTGAAGGCTGCCGGAGGGCAGTGTGCACACCAGCTCCCCCACTGTCTCTCAGATACGCTGGGCAGCTTTCTGGATCTCTCTGGACCTCCGTTTCGTTTCTTTGTATATAAAGGTTGGTGGGGGGCACACCCAGGTTGGAAGGTTAAGCAGGCACATTCCAAGCATTCCTAAACACCAACCAATCAGCAACCCCATGGCTATTCATGGAGAACCCCTGGTCTCCAGTCTGCCCAGAGAATGAGTCACAAGGCTTCTCTCTCTCTCTCTCTCTCTCTCTCTCTCTCTCTCTCTCTCTCTCTGTCACCCTGTGCAGACCCCAGGGGGTCCAGGGACCCCTGTGGGAGCAACACACAACAGATTTTGAAGCTTTGCTGTTTCATAGCTGTGTGACCTTGCTCTCATCCCGAAACCTCTCTGAGCTGCACTTTGTTCATCTGAATCTCTAGTTCTTAGCTCCGGGAGGCCAGCTGGTATTTGCTTTCTAACTGTCAGTGACTCCCCGTGGAGGCCCAGTGGCTCCTGGTGGCTGCTGTCCTCAGCCCTGCTGCAGCCCAGGAAGCTATGCCCTGGCTTTGCCAGCCGGACTGTGAGGTGTGAGGGTTGTAGCCCCCTCCTTCTGGGTGAGTGCTGAGTGTTAGAAGACTTGAGAAAACACTGGCCCATGGAATTCCGAAGTTAATGAATTGAGTAGATTCGAGGAGGGTATCTGCTTGACCTTCCACCCACCCCTTCTCCAACCCGCCCGTTGTCCCTGAGCGAGGGTGGAGGCAATTGAAGGTTTATAGCAACTACACATAAAACTCTTCGCAGTGGTCCAGGACGGTGGCCTTGGCCCCTGAAAGCCTGAGCCCAGGTGGGTGAGCTTGAGCCTGTTCCCTACGGTGCCTGGTTAACCAGAGACAGGCATTGGGAACAACCTGGGTGGGCGAGGCAGGCCGTTGGGGGAGAAGTGGGCATGTTTGGACAAGTTGGGGGGTGATTCTCAGCTGTCCAAAGCAGGGGTGTGAGTGCACTGACTCTCTCTCTCTCTCTCTCTCTCTCTCTCTCTCTCTCTCTCTCTCTCTCTCTCTTTCTCTCTCTCTCTCTCTCACTTAGGACTAGTGGGGTCAGATAAAGAGAACAGCTTTTGGGAACTGACACAGTTTCAAGATATGTTCTCTGTTTCAGGCTCGTAGACCCTTCATGGAAAAGGCTTGGAGACCAGAGCCTCTGTGTGTGCGCGTGCGTGTGTGTGTGTTCCCATCTGCCCTGCTGGTTCTCTCGTCTGGCTCCTCACTGGCAAGTGGGTTACTTCCCATGATGGGGGTGGGCAGGCTTTGTCCCCTTTCTTTGTCCCGTCAAAGTCATTTTGCAGGGCAGTTGCTGGGGGTGGGGGTCTTTCCTGTCCATCTATCTATCTACAACCATCTATGCCACCCATCATATGGGGTGGGGGTCCTAGGGAGAGGGGTCAGCTGCACCGATTAGCAGGAACTGCCCTGACCCTCCCCTCCCCCAGGGAGACTTATCTGGCTCCAAGCAGTGAGCAGCTGCTGGTGGTGAGGTCTCTGAGTCACTCAGAGGTCCTGGACTGGGTTTAGCAGGAGGTGATGATATAAACAAACAAACATTAGCTGGGACCAGCTCCCAGCTTTCAGCTCACCCCGGGGTCCTGGAAACTCCTTGTTGCATGTTCAGGGAACATGAGGGTGCTCATGTTCTTCAAAAAAAGAATCTTTCTGATGGAGAAACTCTCCAGAGACGTTGCTGAAGCATGTTAGAAAATGTGGGGCTATGTAAGCTCCCGGGCTTCCTGGCTGTGTGACGTAGGTGGGATGCTTGACCTCTCTGGGTCTTTGTTTCCTCCTCTAAGAAACAGGGTTATTGTGACAGTCAGGTGACCTGAGAAGTGAAACCTGGCCTCTTGTTAGGCCCTGCCTCTGAACTTGACACACAGTAAACCCTGAATCTAAGTCAGGTTGCTTCTGTGAGTCTCCTGTTTTCCAACCGTTGTTGAGTCAGCTCCTGGGATTCTCGGGAGCTCTCTGAGGCCCCAGCTCATCTTTCAATGAGGTGGCTGTCCTTGCCTTGTGCCCCTCACGTGCT